GATGTAGTGTGGACTTTGCAAATTCCCAAGGAAAAGCTAATTACATTTTATTACTAGTTTTCATTGTTTACCTTACCTTCTTATAAAACTAATTAAAAAACCTGGAAAATATAAGGCCATAACCTGAGTGCATAAAATTAGACATCTAAACAAAAATGACCTGATATTCGGAGATACTAAACACTCTTATGTTTTGCTGGCTTCATTAGGAACTGTCAGCAGAGAACAATGCAAAGATACAACTTGATATTTTAAGTAAAGTTTGAAGATGTAACATGAACAGAGTAGACCAGTGGTCTTCTGCACTTCATGCTTGCCATGTGGTATATTATTTTGTTATTTAACGTATCAGTACTTGAGCATTCTTATTTTGCATGCTTTTTAAAAAAAAACCATAGGCTCCATTTGACACAGACACAGTTTAGTCATCCAAACTGAATGTACGTTTAAATGAATGTAAACTGGAGATGTGCATTCTCATTGGTCTGATTTATTTACAATGTGTGGTAAATACTTTAATAAAAAAGCTAGATTTATAAAGAGAAAGATGCATTTACATACCCAACCGCCAAACAAAAAACTTAGGCCTATTAAAACAACCTCACTTAATGAGTTGTGCTGCAGCATGCAAGAAAGGACAAGACATTTCAAAAACAACTTTGACCAAGTAAAGCATGTCAATAAACAGTTTACTCACATGGCTGATTTTCAAAGAACACACTAATAGATTCCAGTCTCCACCTTCTTGTTGTACTTACTACAGGGTAAGTATCACAGTTCCTACCTTAACTTGAGGACTGTCAAGGACCCATCTGCAGTAGTACTGTCATGTGTTTTATACTACACCATCAGCTTTGTATCTGAGCATCCTAGTTCTGAAATTCAAAAGCAGCCAGCAGCCTAGTAGCGAGGTCTTTGAAAATGCAGTAACAGAATCTCCAGACTAGATCTGATCAGGGGCCCAGTTAGCCCAATCTCTGATTGTAACTACTATCAATTCATTCAGAAGATGCCAGACACCTTGCACTGCCCATTGCAGGATAAACTGCCCCAGGAAAAATCTCCTTGTATGTCCCAATAGTTGGAGGTTGCTTATGCCAGAAGTATGAGAACTGCCTGTGGTCCAGCAAAAGAGACGTTCCCATAGGATTTATTTACTCACAATAACTACTACTGAATGGCCCGGGACACAGCAAGCTACAGAAGTGTAGGGAGATCAACCAAAAACACTGCTCTTTACAAGAAGCAGGATATGATCTGCTTCATAGTAGAATCTCTTTGAACCTCTCTGACAGCATGGCAGTGTATATAGGAATCAGGCATTTTAATAACCAGACAGCCCATATAACACCTGAAGCCAGTATTTTCCAGCTCACATTCCTAATGTCACGTACCCAAATCTATGTGTAAGCACTTACTTGAGCAGCCCAATTTTCATGGATGCTGAACTCCCAGCTTCCTCAATGGAAGCTGCCACTGAGACCACTGATTTACCAAGCAGATCCCTAAACATAGCTCTAGGTGCCTAAATGTAATTTCCCAAGTCAGAAAACATTGATCCTGGTTCACAATCTCTGCTACTATCTCACAACTGTGACACTATACTTAAGCTTCCCTCCCACCATAGTCACAAGATCTGGAGGGGCTAGAGCCAAACTTTGTGAAAAAGTCCATTTAAAGCTAGGCTATTGGGCTGGGGCACATTCTGTGTAGCAGCATAGACAGCCCTCAAGTATCCTGCTCACTGCTAACCCACAGCCACAAGCTGTGCATAAGAATGACTATTAAATGACTGATTGCAATCCCCAGATGACCCATATTCAGGAAACCCAGCTGCTCTTGGATACTACCATTGTGCTTTTTATAAAAATGTTTGTATTGGCCAAAACAAATATTCCCCCTCAGGATGATTTAAAGGACACAATGGAAAGCTTCTCATGGAAATACCACAGGGAATAACTGATGTGACCTTTCTTTCCTGTATTACCTCTTTTCTACATGCACTTTCCATAGCAGAAAGAAGCCAGGTTTTGCAGCTACATTAATGCATGTCCAAAGCCAGAAACCCCCCCAAACCTTTATGTCCATTGTTTACTGAACTCATAATCCTCTAATCTGTGTCCATCTCCTTACTAGCCTTAAACATTGTTTCCCTTCACTTAAAACAATTATTCTTTACTTATTAAAATTAGATGACAGGCTTGTAGTTATTCTCAGTTACTTGATGCCAAAGTGGTCACTACAAAATGGACATTTCCCCCCAATTCTTTGGAAGGTTTTGGGGGAATACATAAATAACTTCCCCTTGTTAACAATCCCACTTCTCTTCACTCATCTTCACTCCTTAATCCAGTTTCAATTCCAATAAATGAAACTTCCACAGAACCTTCAATATTAATCTCCAGTGTGTCAGGTCCTTTCAGAATACACTTGCCCCATGTTACTTTTGGCAGCAACTTGCTTAAGGAATTCCAACTAGCTAGTAAGCCACGACCCCTCATTCTTGGAGCCATGCAGCCTATCTTTGATCAAGCTGTGTGTCCTCATATGTCCCATATTTGATCCCTTAAAAATAGTTCCTAGATCTCTCTTTCCTCCCACCCAACACTCAATAAGTCTGTAATAGTTACATGCACCTCTGACATCTAGAACAATACAATGCTGGCCAAGTTCAAACTCCAGAGAGATTTCTTCATCAGAAGAAATTTGATGAAAGATGATGAGCTTTCAAAGCCACTTTCACACTGATTTTAGAAATCTTGAACAGAACAGAGTGAGGGATGCTAGCTTTACAGCCAGTACTGTTGCACTGTGCACTGAGCCAAGACATCTGAGGTGAAAGAACTGGCACAGATTCAGTGAGTTATGAATCCTGTATGACAGTAAAGACAGAACTCACGTGCACCCGATGGCATCTCATTTATCGTGCAATGAGAAAATTAAATCTGGAGACTCTAAGTTGCCCAGAGAAAGTTAATATATTGGCAGATAACATCATAACCTTTCCTGCAAAGTATTTAGTTAGGCGTATAGTAAGACGAATGGGAAATCTAATATAAACATGCAAGTCATGACACCACGTAATTGGATGAAGTTTTGTGTTTTCAACAAGGGAAGGTGGAAAGTGAACACAACCAGTATATTTAAGCGTCTAAGATCCCTTTTGATGATGTATAGTCTATACATACCATTTATTCCCCCTTCTACCAGCGTTTTCAAGTGCTATGTGGTTGGTCTCTGCACATGCTAGAATCCTTGCTATATCTCCTCCAACTTACTGATTTGCCATCTCTTTTCAAGTCTTATCTGAAAACATCACCTTCCAACCCCTAGCTTCTATACCTCCTGATTTCATTCTGCCTTGTGTGTTTCATACATCTTTAAATCTGCTGGATTTCTACAGGTTAAATTAGTCAGGAAGAAAAACCTTATTAAAGACTCAAGCCGCTCTTAAATGAGTGATAGCTGTCACTCAGATGCTTGTTTTCACAGGAGTGGGACGTCCCCCCTTTCTTTTTAGTTACTATTTTGGTTGAAGGAAGGGAAACATATTTTGAAGGAGGAGACTAAATCATGAGCTGAATTTTTGCATTTTGCCATCATTATTCAAACTCAAACTCCACTGGCACAAATAAAGAACTGGCAGTCTCTGATGCAGGAAAATCTGAGGGAAGTGTCTGGCTGATAAAAGTTAGCCAGATCCTAACTATACTTCCCCCCAAAAGTTTGACTGTCAGGATAACTTTAAACAAACCAAGTAAAAATACAGAGACAATACAAGCCTTTACAGTATCAGCACATCTTCTAATAAGGACACTAACAGAGACAGCTTTCTTACCTCTATGAAGGACACCTGTGTGAAAGCACTTGTAAGAAGGGACTCTTATTGCTCTCTAACACTGTACAACAGCTGCAGCCCAGCAGGATGAGGTCAGGCTAGTTTGCAGGGTCCTTTGGGAGGAATGTGCACAGTTTATTAAAGGCCCAATTGGGCATAAAAGCCAATTGCAGTTCTTTGGAGGGCTGCATGTCATTTCACCCACTACAAAGACTCGCTCATAGTCAACTACAATATGATGAATATTCTGTCCCTTGGAAATCATTTTGGCACCAATCCTCATCTAAACACTACTATTTATGTGACTTTACAGGTTTTTTTCCTGTTACTAAATGAGGGACTCTGAACAAATATTTATTTCCAAAATGGGGCTTTTTTGCTTTGTATTTGGTGGAAATCTTTTTAATGACTTGCTGCTTTGGGGCTTTTTGTGGAAACAGCAGGAAAACTCCGGGTTTGGACTATATTCAGGAGTCAACAAAGCTCCTGAATCTAACTCTTACTAGTCCACCTGGAGCAGTGGTGCCCAAATCTCCAGCCCACAAGTGTGTGTTACCTGGCCTGTGGAGCTCCCTGCAGGTCTGTAGGGAGCAGTGGCAGTGTTAATTACTGCAGCTCTGGATCAAACAAACAGAAGCAATTAACACTGCCACTGCCCCCCAACCATGAAACTTCTGTACATGTGGGGAGCCTTGTGGGTGGGATGACAACTCCAGGTACCACTGCATCACAGCTGGATCTGGCACATAGAGTTGAGCCAGTGTGTGCAGTCACACCAAGGCCAGGTCTGGCAGGTGAGGCTGGGCTGGTACACAGGGTCACACCAGTAGCTGGGCTGGCACATGGAGTTGGACCCATGGACTGGCCCCACTCCACTCATCCAGCCTACGGGGCTAGAAGGTTAAGCACCACTGCACTGAATTGATCTGTTTCCTTAAATCCTTACCAATATAGGAAAGCACTACTCATTTTCTTTCTGGAAATTTGAAAGCTAAGCAGCTTCCAAGCATACCTAAGCTCTGTGTTTGGAAGCTGTTTATTCTATGGCTGGTGATAATCATCTATCTATCTAAAAAAAAAAAAAAAGAAACTACATATGCAAAATTGTCCCTGAAAGATCTCAAGGTTAGAGACTATAACTACATATGTAAAGTTGTCCCTGAAAGATCTCAAGGTTAGAGACTAAACAAATGTCTGTCTAACTCCACACTGGCTCAGCAATCCCTTAATTAACTTTGGGTCTGTGAAGGTCAGAGTTTAAGACAGCCAGGATGGACCTCAAACCCTACAGCTTCAGGTTCCTGCATGTTTGAAAATTAAATATTATTTGTTAGAAATTATGGCCTAGGCTTTCAAAAGTGCTCAATATTGTTCTGTTTCTATGGACCCATGGGTAAAATACCCACCAACTTCCATGGGGGCAGAGTTAGGCCAATATGAAGTAGTTTTGCAAATCCCACCTAAAGCTTTCTGAATGACATGACAGCATCTTGAAGTAGTTTGTAGTCACTCACATGGCCAGCATCATAAATATTATCTTTCATGATCCCAGTGACATTATATGTAATGTTCATATACATTTCAAGGGCCAGAATCTCTGATGGAGAACACACAATGAAGTAAAGATTTACTCCAACAGAGAATGTGACTCTAAGTGAAGTAGTGCTGAAAAATCCTTTTCATTTGTCAGGCTGCTGTGTGAAAAGGATGGGGTTTGGTGAACCAAGTTTCAGCTGCTAACAAGCTGTTTGAAGAGTTTAAGCTACAGACCGTATATTAAACCTACGGCAAAGTGCTGATTACTTTGGAATCTAACATAAAACCTGTCCCAGAGGACCTTTAATGAGTGGAAAATTATTGTTTCAAGGACCATGACTCATCCCTTCTTTACAAACAGGCAACAAATTTGCAGTCAAACCTCCCATGTAGCATCACTTAACAGAAGAATAACACAACTGGATTTTTTAGTTGTAGCATAGCTCTCTGTCTCAGGAAAGTGTTATGTGTTCCTGGACCATCCTATGAAAGTAATGAATACTTTGAAATTCAGTAACAGACACCATACCAAAGTAGGAACATGCTTTTTAAAAATTAAGTTCATGTAAACTGAAGCCTCTCTAGAGGGTCTTTGAACAGAACATGATTTTAGAAAACTCTGGATCAAAACCTAGCACAGGACGCACTCAGGAAAATCATCTCACTGAAATCAGAAGATGCTACGCTTAATGAAGGACTGAATAAAGTTGGGTTTGGCCCTGCAGTATCCTAGTACTGGAAAGGTAATTTGTGTAGACATTAATACTGAAGAATTAAAAAAACAAGTCTCTCTTGTAGAAAGAGTTATGCAAAGGTCTTGGTTAACATGTAGCATGCCTGCTGGATGCTGCTAGATTAAATCAACTATGCTATTAAAATAGCAGTCTTTAATAGGAATATATTGCAAAATATGTGTGTCCCAAGAAATATACCAGTGGGTATGTCTTTAAAGCATTTTTGCCTCACAGAGCTGACAAAAATATTTAATCCAAACATTTTTGCTGGAGAAGTTAAAAAAAAAAATACTGTTGTTCTGCTTTACAAATGAGCCACCCAAAGTCTTTGCTATCCACAGTCTTCAGATATATATAAGTATATATATTCAGATATACATTGGAACTAGATCGAGGAGTCCACAGTAGAGTGACCATTCTGAGTGAATATCCTGCGGTCTGCAGCATTTAGCTTCATGGGTGCAGGTGAGTATTTGGAATTCCTATAGCAGATGAAGCAGAGAATCTTTCGGAAGGTGCTGCGCATCTCATTGTCCCGGTAGGAGTAGACAATAGCATTGATCACTGAATTGATCTCCGCCAGCAAGAGGACATATTTCTCCACTGCCAGCACATTGCAACTCTTGCAGCCCAACCCATCCAAAAGAAGCACCACCTGTCCTGGAGTCCAGCAGATAACAAAGGCACCTGGGAAAAAAAACAGAAGAAATTAGAGGAAAAGAAAGGCCTCCTTGCTGTGCTACTGACTGACAGGGGGATTTGGGCAAATCATTTGCTTTTAGAACTGGTGAGGAAACAGGGTTTTTCCCTGCCCCACAAAAACTTTTACATGAAAAAGAATTATCAAAATTTTCATCACAACTTTGTCTTAAAGTTTTTGGAGTTTTCATAGAAAAACTTGTAACCTGTCATTTAAAATGAACACTTCCAGCAAAAAAATCTTGTTTCTGCAAAAAAAACATTTTCTGTTGAAAAAAAACGTAGATGAAAAATATACAGCTAATTCTACTCTTCTCCCTTTTCCTCATTTTTTCCATTTATAAGATGAAGATGGAACTGACACTCTCCTCCTTTCCACTCCTCTCCAGGGAGGAAAAGAATTATTATGTACATATAATTAAATGTAATTGTTGACACATGTAACGACATGCACATTGGAGTGAATCCTTTTAATGATTCACTTTACAAGACTCCATTATCAGTATTGACTCAAGGAAAGTCCCCAGCATTACTGTGGGCAATTGAATGGAGGCTTCAGTCCACTGTAAAGCTGCAATGTAAAAAGCAAATAAAACAATTGGATGGATAAGAAAAAAACCCACAAAAAATATTCCCATGACATTATGTAAATCAACAGTTCATCTGTACCAGGATTCTGCGTGCAGTATCAGTTACCCTCTCTCAAAAAGGCACTGCAAATTACAGTGGGTTCATAGAAGAAAAACAAGCTATGATCAAGGACCTGGAAAAGCAAATGCATGAAGTGGAACAGAAAGATTGGGATGATCTCTCTTGGAAAATAAATGATTAAGAGAGAATGGGATGCAGGTAAGCAGCATAATGAATGTTTGCAGAGTTTCTAATAACCCTATCATAACCAGGGATCCAAAAACGTGGATTTGGAGTTACTTTTTTTAAACCAAAAATTGGGGATTTTTTTTTTCAGAGAAAACCAGGATCCCTTGTCTTAACACAATAGGGAAACTGAAAGGAGGTAAATCCAACATTGAGAAAAGTAAACATTTTCCCCCCTACATAATGCAGTTATCTAGTGGAACTCACTGCCACAAGGTTTCCCTAAGGAAAAGAGCTTGACAACATTTGGATATTTAATCATTTAATTAATGACAAGACTATCCAGAATTATAACAGTTAGAATTAAATAAATAATCTAACCTTTCCTGTAACAGGGTATAAACTCCAACTTCTGACTATGAGGGCTCGGGAGATGATAGGATCCCTGCCTCACACAGGCTTCTTGTATCTGGTCAGACCCACCTAATGCTGGTCACCAGAAAGGGGAGACTGAACTAGATGAACTGATAGTGTGATCCAGTCCGGCCCTTCCTATAATCCTACCATTTGTAAAGCTGTTATGTAGAGGAGGAGTGTCTAAGGGCAAAAGATAATTATTATCCTGTGTGTGAAAAGGGCGCAGGGGGAGGATTTCTAAGGTGAATATTGTGCATTCTGAAAACTTGCTGTTTATAGTCACATTTCTGGTTAAGAAGCTGTTTAATGAACAAGTGCACTTCCTCATACATGTTTCTGACATGCTAGCTCAAGGATTTGTCTTGTTACCCTAGGGTTGTACTGTGTCCTTTGTCCTGGGGAAGGGTGAAGGAAAAAGAGTGGGTCACCAAGAACTTTTTAGCTATGCCCTTTATTGGAAAACATCTGCCAGAGAAGACAAATGGCCAAAGGGGCTGCTCTGAACAAAACACAGATCCCTGAAGTGGTGTAGCAACATAAGAAAGTATAGAAGTAGGGTTGCCAACTGTCCATTAAGTTTACCGACACTATAAATAACCAGGCAAAAACACCTGTGAAATCTTAAAAATTGTGCTGTCCAATAAAACACAAACCCACCAAAGCTGACTGTTGCTCTGTGGTGGGAAAGAAGTTGGACACAGTGTTAAAGCACAGACTGAGCACAGCAGCATCACCTGATGTTTGAGTGGAAGCACAGCACCCTGAAGGGAGCTCTGCGATCCACGGGACTCTGTGTAGGTCCTTCCCCATCTTTCAGCCACATGCTGGTGCTGGGTCCCATCTGTCTGAAACACTGGTGGGTGGCAGGCAGGCAGATAGCAGTCCTTCTTTGGGGCTCTCTTCCAGTATAATGGGAGTGAGGCTGGAGAGGCAACATGATTTGACTATGGTTTGTATCCAACTCTTGCCCAGGGTCTGGCAGAAGAGTTATATTTACACTATGTAAGTCATACATCAGTAAAAAAAAATGCGGTTGTTAATAAAAAGTTTTCAGATTGTCAATAATGACAAAATGGTCTTGGGTTAGAAACCCTGCAAAAAAGGAACTTCCTGGGTCAGAGTCCCCTTCCCTGCTATCACAAGGAACCAAGTCATATAATCTCTTGAACAAACTGATCAAACTTCAGTGTAGTCAAGGCAGCTGTAACCATGTTCTGGGCAGTTGTACCTCCAATAAATTTACAAGATTGCCACTTTGGTTCCATTTACTTCTAGCATAAATAAGTAAGTAAGTAAAAGTAAACCCACAGCTGTATCATTAATGCCATCCCACCAGCTTATGCAAACCTGCACCACAGCAGTTGCAGGACCTGTCTTTAGCAGGCACAGGTTTCTAAGGGGTCCACAACTGCAAAATCTGGTGCCAGTTGTGCAGAACTTGGTTCCTACCAGCTCCCAGTGTTTCATGAATGGTTAGTTTGTCACAAGCGCTCAGTACACAATACCCAGGGTCACATCTGATAATTTGATTCCTACTCTTGTGCCTAAAGCAGTGTTTCCTAACCCGTGTGCTGCGGCACAAAAGTGTGCCATCAGAAATAAACAGGTGTGCTGCAGAATTTTGTCATGGCAATAAGCTACAATAGGTATGAGGATGGGGACTGCCTTAACAGGTTTATTAATGTAAGTGTGCCTTGGGCTGGAAAAGGTTGGGAAACACTGGCCTAAAGGACTGTGGATTTCCTTGGAAAATACGACTCATCATACCAGACAGTTCACAATGTGGGCTCAACAGAATCCTAGAGACTTTGTTATTATCTCCATCTCCTTGTACTTTGCTCACCTAACAAAGGTACTGTCTAAAATGTTACTTAGGAGCAAAAAAAATCCATGTGCTTTTGGGAAAAATCCATATTCACCAATCTTAACAACCTACTGGCTGAACCTGCTCAGGCTGACAACTCTGCTGCCTCTCACCACAGTGCAAAGCACTTTCCTACACCATTTTTGCAAACACTATTGATAGCCTCATCAAGATTATTCATGTCAGCAACTTTCCAGTTCTCCTATAGCATACACTTATTCCCC